TAAGATCTCCAAAGCCATGCCTGCACCGCCTCCCGCCAAACAGGCCCACCTGAGTCCCAGGCAGCCCAAGCGGCTGGCGGCCGCAAAAATCCGAGCCGCCACGCAAGAAAGGCAAAGGGAAGGGCAAAGGCAAATCCAAGAACGCCTGGGCCGCATCGCACAATGGAAAGCCCATCTGTCGCAGGTTCCAAACAGGGACTTGCAAATCAGACAACTGCCAGTTTGCACATGTGTGCGCAATAAAAGGATGCCAGCAGACGCATCAGCATCCCAGCACGCGTCGAACCACACATGAAACAGTCCGAAGGAAGCCCCGGCAGCTTCCCCGGACGGTGCCACAAAAACGCCGGCCGCATTCACGGTTCTCCATCCCGCATGCCAACAAGCGCCTGCAGACGCTGGCGCATCGCATAAGCCCCAGGGAGGACTCCTGCTGGACGTTTTCGCGGGAGTGCGTGCACCGATTTCCGCCGCAGCAGACCAACAAGGCCTTGCACGCTTCGAAGCTTTTGACTTGGACGCCAATCCTCAGCACAACATTCTGGATGACGCATGGTTCGAGTTGCTTTTACGCATATGCTGGTCGGGCTGCGTTAGTTTGTTAACCCTGGCACCGCCGTGCAAGGAATACTCCCGGCTCAAGCTTAGACCAGGCGGCCCCAAGGCGTTACGCACGCCTTCATGCATGCTGGGTGTGCCCAACTTGTCACCAGCAGAACTCTCTCGGGTTCGCGACAGCCGCGAAATCCACAGAAGAGGGCGAGAGCTGTTTAAAGCAGTAGCCTCCCAAAGTGGTGTGGCGATCTTCGAGCAGCCACCATCCAGCATGGCTTGGTTGGAGCCGGAAAACTTTCAGTGTTTAAAAAACTTTCACGGACACCTCGCATGGGTGGATGCGTGCCAACATGGCATGCTGCTCTCAAAATCGTGGTGCTTCGCCAGCAATGATGCATGCATCCAGCACGTGGCGAGCAGATGCCCGCATCAGCACAAACACGCCAGCATAGCGGGAGTTCAAGGCAGCTCAGGCCAATACCTGAGCACACTAACAGCCGAATACCCGGCAAGTCTCGCGGCGTGCTTAATCAAACATTGCGCATTCAAAGTGAGCACGCAACCCGAGATCCGCCACTTACGCAAACCCTCCCCGCTTTCACTGCACCCCGTGCGCTTGCGGGTATGCGATGGAGCTGGCATGCATTCAACTGCAGACCACTCAATCCCTCAACCAAACCACCCGCTCACGATAGCACGTGCCTGGCTACATTGGCTGGACGCACAAGAACTCATCCCAAAAATTCTAGCCCATGTGGGGTCAGGTAACGCATCCCCCCCTCTCTCGGAACACCAGTCCGAGGAGGCAGCGCGGATAGCGTTCCGCGCCATGAACATGCCGTGCCCATCCGAGCTAGCGCCCGATGAAGGACAGCCGTACCGCCTGTCACTTTTGCATGCTCTAGCAACGGCATCCAATGACCCCGACCTCAAACTAGTACCGCTGCTGGCAGAAGGCGTGCCGACAGGAGCTGTGTCGGAACTGCCACGCAGCATGCAGTGGCCGCCTAAGCCTCAGGCGGACCTGCCTAGTGAGCTCACCGAGTGCATCGGCAACTGGAAAGCCGCAGAAGCGGAACCAGAAACGGTATCCGCCTTGCTAGAAAAGGAAATTGCAAACGGATGGGTCATTCGAACCGGCATGTCCATTGAACAAGCCAGACAACATTGGCATAAAGGCATAGCAGTGGGAAAGCTCAACGTCGTGCATGCAGAAGGCAAGGACCCACGACTAGTCTTAGACAGCACAGTGTGTGGGGTGAACCCCAAGTGCGCCATTCCCGAACGCATAAGCCTGCCCATGGCCTCGGACGTGCGCTTAGCATTCCTCCCCGAGGACACGCACTCGTCTTTTGCAAAGCAGCGCATAAGCAGATCCAAGTGCACCCCAGCGAACATGGCCTGCTTCTGTTTCGAGTTGCCGATATCCTGTACCATTATAGGGTTTGCCACTTCGGAGCACGCTTCTCCGCCTACTGGTGGCAGCGCACCGGAGCATTCCTCCTGAGGCTACTGCACGGCATTTTGGGACTGCGCCCGCATCGCGCATGGTTGTTCGTAGATGACCTTTTGGCAGCACTGCATCGCAGTGACGCGCACGCACAGCTGGCCCTCATGGTCATGTTTTTTGCAGCAATCTCTGCCCCGATCTCCTGGAAGAAGGTTCAATTTCAAGACAGCCTCACGTGGTGTGGGTGGCGCATTAATTTCCTGCACGAGACCATCGAACTCACGCCGGAAAAAACCATAAAATTGAAAGGGCAGCTGCACGAGCTGCTCAAAGCAGGGAAGGTCAAACGAAAACTTTTGGAGCAGGTTCTAGGCCTTCTCATTTGGGCTACCAGTTTGAGCCCCGAACTCAGATCCTGGCTGGCACCATTGTATACAGACTTGCATTCGCCGCCGGGTTGCATGATTTCTGTCCATGCGCGTTTGTGGCCATCCTTCCTTTCAGCATTAGACGCCAAAGCCGTGCTCAGATCAGCAGTGCACGGCATTTTCATGCCACCAGGCTCTAAAGTTCTAGAGTTCCAAGGGGCAGTCATTCGCACGCCAGCGGACCTGCCTCGCGTTGTGCCTAGTCACAAATCCGCTTGGGTGCGCGTAGCGGACGCATCCGCAGAGCACACTCGCCTGTCCAAGATGAGTAAACATAGCGTAGAATGGACAGATAACCGAGGCAGGAGTTAATAAATTGTTCACCACTGCTTGGCCCTTACAAGTCTTTGTGCAACTTGTAGCCGCCTGGGCCCATAAGCGCAAATGGTCCGTTATCGCGTCACACATCCCAGGAGAGCACAACATCTGGGCGGACCAGCCTAGCAGAGGTAATACCTCCGCCTTCCAGGCTCGACCGTATGCCAAAGTGCGCTTTAAGCCGCATGACTTCTGGCCTCACGCATCAGCTCTCACGCTTCACCCTGCGGACGCACCGTGGAGACCCGAGCACGTGGCTGCATCGCAAACGCACTAAAGAGGGGGTGAGGTGATTTGACCGTTTGCTTAGAACTCTAAAGTGGGGGCATTCCGACAGGCTCCGCATGAGATGCAGGAAGATGGAGTGGACGCGCATCGTCACTCCACCTGCATCTCAGAGCCTGCACTTCTAAGCAACGCTCAAGTAAAAAAGCGCGTATCGAGTTTGCTCCGGTCGGTTGCTTTTTTCCTTGCATGTCCCTTTAGGCTTGAAGCAGTGACCAAGATTCTAACGCTAGGGGTTTGTCTTTTCCCCTGTGTTTTAATCTTGGTTGAATCTTCGGCCGCGTGGCCGTTTCTGCTTCAAGCCTTTTGGTAAGGGACATGCCTTGAGGGTTTGACCCCTCTTTCGTTCTTTTTTGAACCCACCCTCCCACCCTTTCACGGCCCAGGTGGAAACCAGCTTCCACAAGGCCTGATGAGGGATGAATGCACACGCATGAATGGAAGCTTTGCAGCTTCCAACATTTCGTTGGCTTACTGCATCCCGCTGCTCCCGCAGGACCAGTTTGAGCATATGCAGCGAGGCCCATGCTGTGCACGCAGTCGCACATCGCCGAATGCCATCGGCATTCTGTCGGACCAGCCTGGTCCCCTTCAGGAGGACGCATTCCTCCCATGCATACCTATGCACGCATTGCATACATGTGCAGAATACCTCCTATTTGTCTCACACCCCATGGGTAAAACACCCTGTGTGATGGTCGAACACGCAATGTTGACCACAGGGGGCATTCCGACAGGCTCCGCATGAGATGCAGGAAGATGGAGTGGACGCGCATCGTCACTCCACCTGCATCTCAGAGCCTGCACTTCTAAGCAACGCTCAAGTAAAAAAGCGCGTGTCGAGTTTGCTCCGGTCGGTTGCTTTTTTCCTTGCATGTCCCTTTAGGCTTGAAGCAGTGACCAAGATTCTAACCCTAGGTCCCCTGAATTTGCTGGATTTCCTGAGCATGAGACTGGGCAGCATTTTGGCAACGCTTAGTCAACCCAAAGAATGTAGGGGACCTAGGGGACTTAGGGGACTTAGGGGACTTAGGGACTTAGGGGACTCAGGGGACTTAGGGGACCTACGGACTCAGGGTGGCTGGGGCATTGTTCAGGAGGGCCGGGGGACTTGGGGTACCTAGGGGGCTGGGGTGTGTGTCACCCTACTGTGTTTGTAGCTGTTTGCTACTTCACCTGTTGCACGGCAGCTCTTGTCTTATTCTTTTTCTCCATATATTTTTCAAAAAGAAAAAGAAAGAAAACAGACACAAAGATATTGTGAAAGAGAACATAGGTTGCACGGCTTTTGTCTCATTATCTTCTTATTTTTTTCCAAAACGAAAAAATGGAAAGAAGGAAGAAAACAGACGCTGATGTTGTGAAAGGGAGCAAGAGCAAACAAATACCCTGACAGGAGAGCCGCCGGCGGAGAGCACCCCCCAGAGTCAGAGTGTGAATCGAGCAACCAGGAAGCAACCCCAAAGAACAAGACGGAGTACTTCACCTGGACGCTGGCCAAGAGGCCCCAAGAAGGAAGCGGAGTCCGTGGCTGCGCTTCAGAGGGCTTTGGCCAAGTGGACCCCTTCTGGGAACTGTGAAAGATTCCGAGGTAACCCAGGGACTTTGAGAGTTCAAAGGAATCGGGAATCGGGGGTCGGGACGCTTCTAGTGGATCCAGGGAGGCTAGGGGACTTGGAGGACTTGGGGCACCCAGGGGACGCTGGGCTCCGAGGGAACCTAAACAACCGCGGATCGTGGCGCCTCTTTCTCTCTCCGAGCCATTGAAGCTTGCAACCCATAAACCTGTGAGACTTGCTTGAAGACTTTCAGGACGTGGTAGAGCCGAAGTCAACCTCCTTCAAGACCTTGAGAAAGAGTTGGGAAACACTGCCATTGTGGTGGCTTCGGATTTGACGAATCAGCGAACGCCATGCGAAGCGTGTGAACATATTTTTGCTGGTGGCTTGGCCCAAAGAAGCGCTCAGAAGCAGCGCTGCCGACGGTCCACGCACACAGTGCAACAAGTCACCTTATTAAATCCACGAGGGAAACACTGCGCAGCCATGGGCATGGAGACTATGAAGGGCAGGAGGAGCCGAGGCTGGTCAGCTTCAACTCGTCCGGGTTGAGGACTGATTGCTCTCAGGTGTGTCCTTCCGCTTCTTTCTGGTTGCAATCGCGTGGCTGCTCGTACACACGGCCAAGACCTCGGCAACATGTTTTTCAGTGCTTTGGTTTGCGGGTTCTGGCCCCAGGTGCATTTGTTCACCATCCCTCACGGGCGGATTTCACCGAGTCGCCCGGGCTGGAAGGACACTAGATTCCTGGCATCTTGGCTGTGTTTTGTGTGGTGCCGCCAGGATTCTCGCGGGCCACAGGTCCAGATCTCGGTGTCGCTGTGATGTTTTTGCCTAAATTTCACCTCTTGAGGTGACACGCTGGCACCCTGGGCGTGGCGCAGGACGCTTTAATCAGCAGTTACGCTGGCGTTGCTCATTGCAGTGTCCGAGCTCGGCCTGGGTCTTGGGAACGTTGAGGGGTTTGAATTTCCCCGACCGCCCGGCGTGCTTTTAGTGGGGCTGCCCTAAGCGCATCCACAAAACCAGGAAATCCCTTTTCGCATCCTGCGAGCTTAGTGAGGCATCGAGCCAGCGCTGGTTGCATGCTGGAGTCGCCTTGCGTGCCAGGGCTGCACGAGAGGACCTTCGGACCCAAAGCTTGCAAGTTTGGACGATTGCAATTGCCAGGACAACAATGCCGAGGCCTGGGGGACATGTGCATCAGAACGCTGGGCTTCTTGGCTGCCAGGACCGGCTCGATCTCGAGGAGGCGGCAGGCCTTCAGAGAAAGGACAGGTCCCAGCTTGGCCTTGCTCAGGCGATTGCAGAAGCCGAACGGGTGCTGCAGGACAACGACAAGGTGGAAAAGATAAAAGCTGTTTTGCGCCGCTGGAGCAGCACATGGGTCGGGGTTTTCAAGAGCGGTGAAAGGTTTCAGCTCAGGAAAAGCGCAGAAGATAAACCCAGGGAAGTGGACCCTTTCAGGGAAGAAAGACGAGTTGAAACAAAAACTGCGCGAGTTCGTGGAAGAGGCAGGACTGCGTGCTTTGTCTGAGATTCACAAGCGGTTTTCGTGCGACGCAGGCCAAAGCAACCAAAAAGGGCTTGGAAGAGGCCGTCGGTTCGTGCGCACCGCTGGGGTGTGTGAGTCGAGTTGGTGCAATTGGTCCGCCAGGATTCCCACAGGGCACAGGTCCAGATCTCGGCGTTGATGTGATTTTTTTGCCTAAATTTCAGCTCTTGAGGTGACAAGCTGGCACCCTGGGCGTGGCGGAGTTGCTTCGCGCGCCAGCCCGCAGCAGGACGCTCCAATCAGCAGTTGTAAATTTGGCCGGTTGCAATCGTGCCAGGACAGTGGTGCGGAGGCCGGGGGGCTCGCGTGCGCCAGGCTCGGTTGTTGGTGGGCGCTGGCAGGACTGGCTCGCCAAGAGCCGCGAGGAGGTGGAGGGCTTCAGCATAGCCCAAGTGTCGGACTGGGTCAGAGCCGTACTGCTGGCTGCTGGGTTTGAAGCAGACGACATCACCGAAGTCACCCCCATTCTGCTGAAGCAGAAGGTGATCGGAGCGGCCCTGCTGAAGCTGACACTGGAAGAGCTGATGCAGGATGGCGTTCCGCGTGGCCCTGCAAAGCTGCTGGCCGAGAAGATCCAGTTGTTGCAGGAGCCCCAGGCACGGCTGGAAAATCGTTTGCTCTTGACTTTGTTCTGAGACATTGGTCGTTGCGTGCGGTTTTGAGGAATTCCCCCCCGCGGCCCGCAAATGCTTTCAATGGGGCTGCCCTGATCGCATCCAGAGAACCAGGAAATCCCAAGATAGCATTTTTGCAGATTGCGGCGCTTCCTGTTGTTGGCAGGCTCGGTAGGGACCCTCCATGAACGGATTTGTGTCGTATCTTTGGAACTTGTGTGTGTGTGTGTGTCATGATTGTGTGTGTGTGTGTCATGATTGTGTGTGTCATGATTGTGTGTCAACATCACTTTCTGGGTCGGTTTCGTTCAGGGTGAGAACCTGTGGAATGAATAGCAAGAGATGTCAACAAACAAGATCCAGGCACCTCAAGCAAAGCCGAGACTTTGTGCTTCTTGCCTGTCAGGTGAGCCGCTTAGTCCAAGAGTTAGTGCTGGTCGTGAAACAAAAGGCGTTTGACAATGCCTTGTCCAAGCTGCGTGACATTGCAGTTTTGCCAGAACATGCCATTCAAGATGAGCAGTACTGCCATCCGTATCAATTGGCCGAGACCTGGCACTTGGTAGCCTTTGGACAAGAACTACTCGACAATTATAGGAGCCTTAGCTTTGACAGCGCAAGCAGCAGGGCACCCAGACTTATGGCGCTGTCTGCTGGGACCGGCACTGGTAAGACTCACAGTCTGCTAGAAGCACCGAAGGCATTGGCAAGTGCGGACAGAGCCTGGACTGACTGCGAGTTCATTTACATCACTTACAATCAAGAGCAAGATCTGACCATGGACCTCGAAACTCAATTCTTTGCATGTCAAAAGGCCGTTCTTTGGCGATTAATGCTACGGCAAGTGGGAACCAGCAACCAGGGATGCGGCAAGGCATTGCGCCACTTGATGAACATCGAGATTTCCCCTGCAGAGATATTACAGATGTTTGTGAACGCGGCAGCCAAACCAAATGTTGTGATTTGCGTGGACGAGCTGCAGCTTCTGCAAGAAGAAGGAGTAAAGGCAGCGGCTTCCACTCTCGCCAGTGTTGCTCTTGCACTGAGTCAGGCGAGCAAACGGTGTCTTGTTCTTCTAGCTGCTCTCACTGACGAGACACTGAAAAGCGTGAGCGAGCGACCTGCATTAACAGTCAATCCCATCCTACTTGACAATTCTGGTCGTGAATTTATTGTAGATCGTGCACTTCCAAATGCAACTGCAAAACAGAAGACCAATATCAAAGGAGCTGCTGGCTTGCATGCACGGTCTATAGTAGTTGCATGCCAGCAACTGAGTCAGTATCCCTCAATCGACAGCGTAAGAATTGCAGCTGCATTGAAAAGTCGCCTTGGTGTGAGACTCAGATCTGATGACAGGGCTGACATCCGAGAGTACATTAAGATGTCAATGACAACGAATGTGGAAGATGCGTTGAAGAAGCATCCATTGGCAAAGCCTTTTGCAGACCCGAATGGAGCAATCCCGCCTGCTTTAACAATTGCGTGTTTCGAAACAACTGGCAACACGGGTGCTTTGCACCCAGCTTGCTGCATATTTGCTCCTGATCTGTTTGACGACGCGTCGAAAGCGCTGGAGAGGGCCGCTCTATATCGTGACCAGTTTCGAGCCTTATACTCTTTGCCTGTTGTGCCTCAGACGATGCTGGTGCAGAACACTAATCCGAGACGTGCTGAATGGTTCCACCAATTGCGGTTTCCACTTGCCACAGCCCAGCAGGTGTGCCGTGAAAGCCTCTTTGAAGTGAGGAACAAGCAAACTGTGCGAACACGTTTGCGGCTGCAGGAGGGCGTGTACTATTTTCCTGGAGCTGCAAATCATCCCAGGATAGATCGGGCTGTCATTGCATATCACTTGGAGACAAACACACAATGCCTTGTTATCTACCAAGACAAGCTCAACCAGAATTTGCCAAAGGCTGTGAGATCGCTCAATGAAGCTGCTGACAGCTTTTGCAATCACATCCAGGTAATATTATGTGTAGCTATAGCTGCCCAGGCCACTGATGCAACAAATTGTCAAAGCAAGTTTCGATATCCATATCTACTAGTCAGAGAGGGCGACATCAGCAATTTTTTCTCTCCAACATTTGCCGCTGCGATCACGTTCATCCAAGACAGACATCGCATTGATTGACGTCTCTTTGCAAAGGCAGAAAAAGGATTGGGCGCCGGCGCGACAAGTGTCATGTTGTTGGAGGCACACTTGATCCCTTGTGGAGTCGAACACCGGCCGACCAGTGTATAAGAATCGTTTTGCATACCATCAGTCGCTTTCCAAAGAAAGAGTTTTGCCATTCAACAAAGCCAAAGAAATCAGTTGGATGAGACCAACCGATGTAGAATCCAGACGGGCGCAACACATGCTAAGCATTTATACATAGCCCGGACTTGTTTTCTTTTGACATGTCGTGCAGCATCGCCCCCGCGAAGTCCCCGCAGAGGGTTCGTCAAGCCGAAGCCAAAGTTGCACAGGACCACAGCGAGAGCGATCAGACGCGCGCGATTCCCGCAGAGGGTTCATCCGGTTGAAGCGAAATTCGCGCGGGAGTGCAGACGAGCACAATCCCCGCAGAGAGCTCATCCGGTGGGAACAAATTCGCATGGGACCACAGTGGGAGCGATCAGACGCACACGATCCCGGCATAGGGTTCGTTCAGTTGAAGTCAATTTCGCACGGGGCCACGGCGAGAGCGATCTCACACGCACGACCCCCTCGATCTGAGGCCAAGAGCACGATCGTGCAGTAAATGCCACACAAGATGCCCCAAAGTCAGATGCGGGCACCTCAAATTGCGTGAGCGCGTGCAGTCGAAACGTAAGTCAACATCTTGCAAGAGCCCGCTTGTGCGATTAATAGCACGCAAAGTGCTCACAGCCAAGCCGAGCACCTCGACTGGGCACCGGGCTTTACTCTTGCCGTAGACACACGTTTGGAGGAAAAACAAGCAAGCTGAGCGTGTCATCCCCTTATAACGCTGGTGCCAAGCTCCAAGGCGCAACGCTTCCCTCCTGTACTGCATACGAGAGGTTCCTAATTTGAAGGAATGCGAATGTGTGTCGGTCAATGCATGCACAGCTCCCCAAGGCATAAGGCGGACTCCAATGAGCTCGGCGTTCTGAGTGTCGGGTTGGGCTCGGCCTCTTCTGAACGAGGCGAGAGGCTGTTGCATTCTGACTTGGCCTCTGAAGACACTAAGGCTGCCTGCTCTACTGCGAGGGCTTCCTCGTCCCTACCAGCGTGCTGACCCAGCAGCCCCTCCACCTCATGCAGGTAGAGGAACCGCGTAATGCTGGAAGGCAAAGACTTGAGTTGGAGCTGCTCGGGTGGCTTCTCCTGCGGCGTCCGGAAAGCCGGTTCCACGGTCGGGTGCTTCAGCGCGGCCCGGCACATTGACAGGAGAGGCGTGGCCGTAGCCAGCTCTTTGGTGGCGTCGGGCAGCAGGTCCAAACGTTCGCCCCTCAAAATATGGCGTGGAGCATGCCCCTCCATGATCCCCACTTCATTCGCGCAACATGCGACTGTGGCATGGGCGGTTGGAACCCTAAACGGGTAATTTGTTGGTCATGGCTAAAACGGAGCTTGAGCGCACGTAATGAGTTTCGGCTCAGGTGTCAGGAGATGTTGCGCGCACGTGTCCTGGGGCAGAACAAGTTGCTGGAAGCGGCGTCGCCTTGCCTCGCCTCGCTACGCCCCCGCCGCAGTGTTCCGTGACAACAAGAACTCGACAACGCAGTCGGACCAACGCGGCCATCAAGCGGGTGTAGAACCTCCAAGTTGTCGATGCTCGTGTGCGAAGGGCTGGGCTGTTATCAAGCCTTCGCAACGCCCTGAGGATGTCTGCGCCTTTCCTTATATGATTTGAGATCGCGGAGGTCGTGTTCCTCGCCGAGCATCCGGCATTCCTAGCCTTGCACTTGGCATTAATCGGCGACTCTTACAATCGGGCAGTACGTGCAGAGTCCTGCCTTTAAAGGTATCTGTCCCGCGCCGTGCGAGCCTTGCGCCCACAGCTTGGACGAGGAAATTTATACCAATATCCTTACAATAGCTCAATCACGTGCAGGAGTTCCGAAAAGCAGCTCCACCGTCAAGGAACTCGTGCTTCAGCTGTCGTGTCCGCCTCGACCTCCGTCAAGTTGCCGGCCTTGAGGGTTGCGTCCAGGATCTGGAGGCCGTAGACGTCCACCGGCGCCTGGAAGTGCGCCCCGAAGTGCAGCTTTGCAATCTCGTTTGGGTGAAGTACATCTTGGCCGTGCTCCAGGTGCTCTGATCCCCCACGAAGCTGCCGTACAGGGGGTCGTAGACGTTGTCGGACATGTGCACACAAAGTTGGAGGCCGTGCCAAGGCGATAGCTCCCGGCCGGGTGTCAGGCTGTAGGTGCGCACGATGTTCCAGGGGTTCACTCGGTGTGGGTGGCCAGGACCGCGCTTGCGGCCCAGGATCTGCTTCTTGATGGCAGCCACGACCTCGTCAGCCCCTCCATCGTCCAGGAAGCGCACGGCTATCTCCAGGCCGAAGCTGCCTCCGTGACCCCCAGCTTGCCGGTCAGCAAGCCGTCCACCTGCGCGATGGTGTAGTAGCTGAGCAGGGCGGCGGCGATGCTCGAGGCCGTCGCCGTGTCAGCGGTACGCCACCAGCGCCGAGGTGATCTGGTTGGTCGTGAAAACGTCCTGGTCCGGGCCCGTCCGGTAGGCCAGCAGCGCGCCCGCGATGGCAGCCTGCGTCTGCGCCGAGGTGTAGTAGGCCAGCAGCGCAGCTGCGAGGGCGCTGGTCGTCTTGGCGTCCTGCGCCCTCCCCGTTCGGTAGTCGACCAACAGAGCATCCACTTGCGCCGAGGTGTAGTAGGCCAGCAGCGCAGCCGTGAGGGCCGCGTCCGCCGCTGCGACGGAGTAGCAGTCGGCCGTGATGCTCAGCGTGTCGTCGCCGTTGGCCAGCGCAGCAGAGAGAGGAGCCTCCAGATGCAGGTTGCGAACGACGTTGCTTCCGCGAACGAGCTCCCAAGTAGTGAAGCCCGCCCAGGCCGGCGCGTTAACAACTCCGCCGCTGCCGGAAAGCTGCAGGGCGGCGAGCTCCGCGAGGATTGCGTCGAGGGCGCTCTGGAGCGTGGTCTCGCTGGCTGAGAGCGCGGCGTTCGTGGCGTACGAGGCCAGCAGCGTCGCGTCGGCCTTGGCGCCCTGGAGCGCCGTGATGCTGGCGTCACGGCTAGCAAGCTGCGCTGCGACGAAGGCCTCGGTGGCGAGACCCAGCAGGGCATTTGCTATCTTGGTGTCTACCTCCAGTGGCGTGTCCAACCCGTCCACCGTGGAGAGCAGGCCTTGACGACGAGGGCGGCGTCCAGGGCTGCCGTGGTGACTGCGCCCAGGAGGGCTGCCGCTATCTTAGAGTCCACCTCAGAGGAAGTGTCGACGACCGACAGCAGGGCGTACGCGGTCAGGGCGCTGGCGTCTGCCTTGGAGGCCTGCAGCCCCGAGATGGAGGCGAGCTCGGAGGCCAGCGCTGCGGCGGACACGACGCAGGAGAGCGTTGGCCACCTTGGTGTCGACCTCCAGCGGCGTGATCCTTGCTGCGATGTCGAGGGAGTGCTGTGGCCAGCGTGGCGTTGTTGGCCAAGGCGATGGAGCCGTTCATGGCCGCCATGGTGCTGTAGTTCGACAGCTTCAGGTCCACGCCGTCGGGGGTGCTCTTCGTGTGCGTTGTTGCCGGAGGCTGCCGTGTTCACCGCCAGGTCTGTTACTTGCGCGTAGGGCGTCAGAGCGAGGGCCAGCTGCCCTGCGGTGACGTGCGTACCGTCAGTTACCTCTCCGTTGTCCAGGACCTCCGGGATGTTGCCCGTGACAGGTCCTTCAAACATGTTTACATATGTTTTCGCCGACGCCTTAGTCCAGTGGCTAAGGCGTCAGTCCAGTGGCTAAGGCGTCGGCTTACTCCGCGCGGCTCAATTCCTGTTTTTGCTGCCAGGCACGGTCTTGCCGAGGCCGGCATGCAGCTGAAGTATATGGGCAGTAAGCCGTGGCTGGCTCCACACCTGGACCTGCTGCTGGGCGACGTGTCGGTGCTGCACTCGCCCTTCTTCGGTTCCGGAAAGCTAGAGTACTACCTTGCCCGGCGGCGCCTGGCCTCAGCATTATCGCTCTGCCAAGTAGCTTCCAGGTGGACCTATCAAGCCCCAAACGCCTGCTAGTCCACCCTACTCCTGCGGGTTGCGCAATGCGGTGGCAAGCAAGTTGAAAGACTGTTCGGAGTTGCTTCGCACGGCAGCAGCAGCCACTGCCCCCGAGCTGCGTGCGGCGGCTGCAGCTGCCACCGTCCAACGTGCGGCACCAGGATGCGCTGGCCTATCTGCGGCCCTAACCCAGCACCCCAGCAATGCAATCCTGTTGCCGGCGCAGGATTGACGGAGACGCAACCCAAGGCTCACATGCAGCAAATGAGGCCAAGAGAATTCCAACCCAACCAACCTTCTGCTCTGAGTCACCGTTGCGCTTAGAAAGCACTTATCAGGCTTTTCGAGCCACAAAGCTCCGCAACAGAAACGCACTTACAAGGCCAGAAACAGCGCTTTAAGCCCGGGCAACTTACGCAGAATCCACATTTGCTGAATGACAACCTCTGAGGATGCGCTGTGAGCGGTTTTAGATTTCACAAATAACAGAGAGAGGCCCGCGTCCTCCTCCAGTTTCGCCGGTCGTAGGCCGACTGCCTCTCTAGCATGCGCATGGCGCGCTCGCTCGGCCGAGGCGCTTCTTTGGGCTTGGGCCGTACCTCGCTGTGCACCTCGGGCCGTATCCGCACCTCGCACTCTAACTGTGCCTTGGACTCTGTCTTGGGCGCTGCCTTGGGCTTGAGTGCTGCCTTGGGTGCCGCCGTGGGCATGGCAGCTGGCTTGGGTGCTGCCTTGGGCGCTGTGTTGGGTGCTGCCTTGCCTTGGGTGCTGCCTTGGCCATGGGTGCTGCCATGGGCGCTGCCTTGGTCATGGCTGCTGCCTTGGGCTTGGGCGGGGGGAGTGTGCTTGCCTTGGACTTTGCCTTTGTGGGAACTCTCACCCTCTGGGCCGGAAGGGGGAGTCGATTTCGTATGCTGGCTGTGGGCAGGTCGGAGATCATTTTTTTGCTCTTCGGCAGGGGCAGCATGGGCGGCTTGGGCTTGTTCTT